TTATTCGCATTGCGTGAGGATGTGTGTGTGTGTGTGTGTGTGTGTGTGTGTGTGTGTGTGTGTGTGTGTGTGTGTGTGTGTGTGTGTGTGTGTGTGTGTGTGTGTGTGTGTGTGTGTGTGTGGTGCACAACTCAAGAGGGATTGAGTGTGTGTCAGCTGTGTTGCCACCGCTCGATTGACCGCACTTGGAACAAGTCAGGGCAGGACTTCCACTCTATTGACCAGGCGACACCGTGCGCTCTATAAAGTATCGACGACCACACCGACGCCCAAGACACTGGAGCACACACCTCATCTATCACACACACACACACACACACACGCCCTCATGCGCAAGCACGCACACATAGAGCCATCTTATAGAGATTTTTCAAACTTCTTTGATGGCCGTCTCTGATCTTTTTATTTTTCTGCAATAACCAGAATGAGCCTCTCCAGTTCTCCTTTTCCTATAACATCGGGCTGTTTTGTACCATGAAGTTCACGGGTATACATTTTTTCGACACAACTCACCCAGTCCTGTCCCCCAGTTGTATTACTCGCTGGGATGGTGTCTGCATCCCGTGTGTGGTTTTGATGCAGACATCTCCTCTGCAAATCCTCTTTTCCTCAACAGTGAGGGCAATTATGGTTTATATTACCATGAGTAATTGGCAGTCTAGCTGTATAGGCATTTGTCTGCACCTGAAAAATGACCCTGATGTGAGCGCCAACAGAGGGATGAACTGAGGAGGAAAAGAATTGATTTAGTCATAGGGTCTTTTCTCAGGGGCAAAGCTCCCTGGTCTCGGCGCTCATAATGAAATAAATGTCCGTCTTTTATCAGGTTGTACCATGTGATGGCGTGGGGGGTGCCCCTGGTCATGGCCTCTTTACCGCTACTAAAGGGTTACTACGGCCCCGCAGGAGCCTGGTGGTGAGTACAGCCAACTGTTCAGCCACAGCATAATTTTTTTTGTTTTGTCAGCCAGCGACAGCGTATTTTCTGTTAAATGTCTTTACTTTGAAAGGGGGGGGCACAGCTCTGGCCTCATTCCAGCACCAGACAGGCTCCTTCCCTCATAAGGTTTTATGTGATAAAAATTGGCAATTATCAGCACATCTTTGAACAGTGAAACGCCCCCTTCTCACACTCCAGTTCTTGTGGTGAATTGAAAAAGCATTATTTGTTTGGAGGGTAGTTAAGGGGGTGAGGAAAAAGGGGAAGAGGCCGAGGAGAGGAGGCGGTGGAATGAGAATTGGGACAGAGCCTTAATCTCCGGGCTCGGCTCTCTCTTTCCACTCTCGGCTTATTAATAGCTACAGCTGCACAGCTTTTCCCCTCCGCAGTCACACAAGTCTGTCTTCCGCTCACGCTCTCCCTTTCCTTTGTAACCCCCTCAACGCTCTCTCTCTCTCTCTCTCTCCCTCTCTTCCCCCAGCTGGATCACAGACGATCACGTAGCCTGGAGATTTGGGATGTAAGTAGACCCTTTCAGCGCCGCCATCAAAGCTTCCCCCACTGGGGGAGGGCTGTCTCTGCAGGGAAATGTGAAGGGTTGCATGTCAAGGGAGCCTGCGGGGTTTTTTCCCTCTTGGTGTAAGGCCAAGATATGTGTGTGTCTGTGTTCGTGTGTGCACCCGTGGATGTGCCTGTATCTGCCTCTGCCTTGTTAGATTTAGGGGAGTTGCTACACTGTGTATTTAAGTGTTTAGGACGGCTATGAAGGATTATGCCTGTCTACTGCTTTCTGCAACTGGCCCTAAGTCTGCAAGGGCTCTGCTGATTCCCCGGCGCAGACACTTAAACACACACATACACACACACGCACACACACGCACACAGCAACACTTTGCTACGAGCCAAGGTAATCGCGTTGCTGCTCGCAGCATCAGCAGGGAATCAATCTTTCTAAACAAATAAGCACGCACACACTCAGACAGACTCACGCAGACACACACACACACACACACACACACACAGACACAAAGACATGCAAAACAACACATAGCTATCAGCTGTGCTAAACGAGCCTGTGTCTCTTTTATCAGTGCTCCTCTGCTCCCCGGCTCTCTCTAGTTTTCCACACTGTCGTGGCCCAGGGGGACGAGCTGCTCACAGGATCAGGGAATCTTCATTAGCTCTAATTACATCAAACCAGACAAGAGATTAGAGGCCAAGGCAACACGCGTCAAGGAAAAAACACATACGCTCAAACACACACACCCTGCTGACAGCTTGCTGGGAAAGTAGCAGGAGGGCAGAGGTTGCAGTATTAAAGGTGAGCAGTGGAAAAGGTGGGAGGAGAGACATACGGGGTACAGTTAGAGAGATGGGGAAATACTCATCAGGAGAAGGAAAGAGGGGCGGCACACCGGGACGCGAAGGAGAAGAGAGTCAGAGAAATAAATTGCCCTCGTCTCTGCCCACGCCCCGTAGTGTGTCTTCATCAGAGTTCAGCGAAGCGCGCAGACAGGACAGAGGAGGCGGGGAAGGCGCGGAGGAGGAGGTAGAGGGTGTGAAAGAGGATGAAAGAGGAAGGAGAATGAAAAGCAGAGGACAGCGCTGTGTGACGGAGGTGCAGAATTTCAGGGGTTGAGTCAGCAGTTGGAAGCACTCGGGCTTAGCTGAGTCACCGCTCTTAGAGGTTCCCATCGCTATGTTTCACAAGCCCTGGTCAGACGAACCACTGAAAAACAGATGGCTCTATATGTGGGGATGGCAATGTCAACTGATTGATCAACCACTTTGGTCCATATTGAAATAATAAAAAGGATTGCCATGAATTTTAACTGAATATATATATATATATATATATATTAATATATTGAATATATTCATTGTCCCCAGAAGACGAATGCTTTTGACATTGCTGCTCCTCTGAGTTCTGCTCCAGTGTCATCATCAGGTTGACATTTTTGGCTTTAAGTGAAATATCACAACAATTCATTGGATGGATATCCGTTAAAAATTCTTTACAGCATCCAACAATGAATATTAAGGATTATTGATTATTACTGATCTTTTTTCTGTAGCGCCACCAGCAGGTCAAAGATTTCACCTGTCTAAGGGCATGACATGTGGTTGCGGTTCATTTTGACGACTATCAGGTGGATTGTCATGAAATTTGGTACAAACATTCATGTTCCCCTCAGGATGAATTGCAGTAACTTAAGCGACTTTTCATCCAGCACACATCATCTGGTCAAAATTTTAATCTGTCCAGTTCTTTGGTTTATGACCAAATACTAATTACAGTCCCAGCAGCCTCAGCTGTACTTTGTGTTTAGTAGTAAGTGTTAGCATGCTAACACGTTAAAATAAGACGATAAACATTGTACCTGCTAAACATCACTAGGTTAACATTATCATTGAGTGCATGTTAGCATGTTGATGTTAGCATTTAGCTCAAATATAGAGGCTCACAAAGCTGCTGGTCTGCCTGTAGACTCTTAGGCTCGCTTCCTTTCAACTTTTACATGTGTGAATCCGACACACCCTGAACACCCTGCTCTGTCTCTGTGTTGCCTCCTCCCTTTCTGTCTCTCCCGTTCGCCTGTTTCTGTGTAAGTGGTTGAACAGGTAGATCGTGATCTTTCACTTAGCAGTAGGATCGTGTGGGTCAAAGTTGCAGTTAGGCGCTAACCCCCATGGATGGGTCTCTGCACGCACTCTAGTCTCCCACTGAGCACTTCAATTAAGGCTTCTTTCATCCGATCCTCATTCTTCACTTCAGAGCAGTATGGAGGGAAGGCCAGGCTAAAGCCATGAGATTGAATCTGAGCGCATTTGTGATGATCTTTCTTTAAGGGTTTCCACCTTTGCTCACTTTTGTCCTTTCCACCAGCTCTTGAAACCCCCACTGTATTTATCCGTCTTTCTATCCATCCTTCCCTAGTCGATCTATTGGTTGCAGCCTATTTCTGCTATTCATTCTCTCAATGACCTTATCCCTCTTCCTGCCTTTTAATCACCCAGCGCTTCTTTCTTATTTCTGCTCTTTCTGGTCCTGACCCACAATTTGCCATCATCCATCCACCTTTCCATCCTCACCTCTATTCTTGTCTTCACGTTTATCATCCTCTGCCCACTCCGAATCTTCTCTTTCTCTCTCTCTCTCTCTCTCTCTCTCTCTCTCTCTCTCCCTCAGTCTCATTCTCATTCTCTCCCTCCCGTCTCCCTCTTCCTCTCCCTCTTTCTCCGGGTAGTGCTCAGCTGTAGAGCACAGCGGACTCTAATGGCAGATCATTATCATGCTAATTAGAGCACTTTGTAGCTGCCGCCCGTCATTCTCTCCTCCTCGCAGCCCCCCAGCTAAATCAGTTAAAAAGGCACCCCCCACCGTTCCCCCTCTCCGCCAACACCCCCTCCCCACCCCACTCCGTCTCTCCATCATTAACAGGGACGTGCGCTGGCGTAATTGGACGCTGTTTATTCCGCAGATCGGGTTATTAAATCACACCGAGGTGACGCTCGCGCAGGTCTCCCCTGAAACGCTTTCATCATTGTCCCATGCCATTATTGAGTCTGTGTGGAGGCGCACATACACATGCACACACACACGCATGTTCAAAGAGGGTATTCTTTGTATATTGATGTTCCCTACAAGACACGAAGGAACACGATGTGTACAGCAGCCTTTCTCTTTCCCCGTTTCCTGCTGTGGCACAAAGGCATACCGTCTCAGATTCCCCTGCCAATAAAAAGTTTAATTTGATAATGCTAAGTGAGTTTCTTCCGACCCGCAGGCTTGGATGACAAGTGTGGACGAAGTTAAATTAGGCCAAGGACCTAATATTTGCCTTTTCAGATGCTGCTAAAAGATGCAATTTTTAGCACACATGCCAAGGAGATTTCAGACACGGTATTGAACATTTATTCCCAATCCATTTTCCTCTGAAACTACATGTCTCTGTCTATTTATGGGTCATAGACAGACCCAGATTCTCTTTTAAATGTCAGACTTTTTTCTTCTGGATCACGATCGGGCCTTTAATTACTCCTGGTGTTATTCCTCTGCACAATCCATTTATGCTCATCACGTAGGTGCATTTGGTGCCAGGTGCTCAGGAGGACTTGGGTGTTGCGCAGCACGGTCTCAACTGCTCAGAGTTACTGAAGCTGAACAGAGAAGTGGTGGCCAGGAACCTGTCTATCAAAGTGAGACAAAGGCCTGTTTCGTGATTACAGGGAGAGGCTGAAACTCCTCGGAGCTTACATCACCTCCCAAGAGGTTGCATAACACAAGACTGCCATTCCAACAAAGCCATCACCCCCGTTTCCCTCACTCGTCTCGCTCTCTTTCATCCGCTCAGAAATACCTGACATATTATTCTCCCCCGTGTCTCCGTTGATTGTCAACCCTTCATCCCATAGGAATGCCTTGCATTTCAGGTGTTGTGACTCTCCTGGCATTACCTTTTGTTCTCAGTCTCAGTACCTCTCTTCTCTCCTCACTGAAACTACATGCAGTCAGGTCCAGAGGTGCTGAGTCAGGTCTATTCCACGCTGTGCTGTTTATGTACATACCGTGTCCTCTGCACGTCTGCTGGTTAGAATAATTCTGTCCAGTGTCCACCAGTTAAACAGTCTCACCTATACATAAATACACTGAGATGTGCAGTTCAGTTTAGTGTACTTGTTGTGACTCTTAGGGAGACCAAGAGAAAAATGAGGATCGTGTCATGTGACAGACAGAATAACAATGGTTTTAAGGGAAACATCACACCAGAACAAACTTTTGTCCAGGTCTACAACACATCATACCTCCCAACAATAGCCATCTCAGATTACGATCCTGAAGAGGGAATCTTATTAAATGAGTTTCTGCGGTCTAATCTCTTTAGAGGGCCTGGTATGCTATTATGTTCTCTTATGGTATAAACTCCATTAGGATATATGACACATTATTTGTGTATGGGAAATTAAAGTTCTGTGTGTGTTTTTTTTATTTTTTGTTTTGTTTTTTATTCTTCTTCATTTCATTTCTGACTACCCGCTCGTGTCTGTGCTTCGCAGATGGTACGTGCCTCTGTTCAGCCTCATCTTCCTGATGATCTGCTGCTATGCCAGGATCATCTGCGTGGCCAATGAGAGGGTGAGTGCCTCCTTGTGCGTTCAGTCAGCAGCAGCAGCAGCCCAACACACTGGCAATTAAGCTGAATCCAAATGCATTGTGACCTTTTTAGAGAATGGGCATTAGTGAAAGCGAAGACAGGAGTGCTGTTTGCGTGTTCTTCGATTTCTGGAATAGTGGAATAGGGTAAAAATTCTCACAAAAATAGGGTTGAGAAAAATCTCACAGCAAAATGTATGTGTGATATATCAGAGTGGGTTTATATGTAGAATGAAATAAAATAAAATGACAGTAACAAGTCAAAATCCTCACACATGCAGCAGCACTGATGTTATATGCATTAATGCCGAAACAGTGCTGCTCTGATAACCAATAATCATTTAAATGTGGTTTAGTACAACTTGGGTTTTATTTTTCTACTTTTGGCCATCTCCTCTCCGGATCATGATAACATTGTTATCGCCATAGTGAACTGCAGTTGCTAAGATTTGGGATCACGGTGACATGGCAATAAAGCCCAATAGTTGTAAACAAGCCAACAGTTTAGTCATGTTGTCCGGGCTATTTGCGTGTAAAATTCAACACATACACATAGTAGGTCAAAGTTGAACCAGGAAGTAATTTTGTAAGCTGTTATAGTTATTTACAGCAGTTTGGGTAATAATTTCACAGTTTTCCTTTGTTTTATATTCAGGGACATTTAGCTTACCTGGGAGTCTCCAGGTCTTTGGGATGAAATTTTGCAGTAGAGTGGTCTCACTATGAAAGTAAGATCCCAGTTACAATAAGCTTGAATCATTTCTTAAAGCTACCGATTATTCGGATCTTTGAACTTTTTGTCGGTAGAAACGTTTATGTTTATATGTTTTAGTAATTGTCTTTCATGCTACTGGGTGGAACCAAATTTGGAAATTATGAATCTAATGTACTTCTATACATTGCAATTTTAAGTCTTTATCAAGCATCAATCAACATTTTCTACAAGCATGTACAGGTACACAGGTGTGTGTGTTTGAGCTTTGGAGGTCTTTTTTTCAGATTACACAGAGGCACCAAAGTGAGAAGCTTTAATTCTAGATCTGTACATAGTGGTTTTCATTTTATTTAAATAAGTAAATATAATTTTTATTTAATAAGCAAAAATGTTACCATTCACTTGGTCCAGCTATTCAAATGTGAAGATTCGCCACATTTTTGTGACTGTTGGTTGGGCCAAACGTGGTATTGGAAGATGTAATCTTTGCCTCTGTTTGGTTTTTATATGATTGTAAATTGGATACCTTTGATTTCTGGATTGTTTGTTGGACAAAACAAGCTCTTAGAAGATGAATCAATGGCCTCACAGAACTTGTTTGATGGAAATTTTCCACTATTTTGACGTGTCATTCACTTAACAGTCGACCAGAGTAAGTAAACCACTGATTAATCAATCAACCGTTAGTTGATATCCTTGGCATGCTGGCGTGTAGTTTTCCATTGTAAGGGTGCAGTAAAAGCCCAGAGGCAGCATTCCGTAAAGTTCACATAGATGCCATTCCCCTGATCTGATGACACCACACAATGTGGCTGTAGTGCCACTGGAAGGCCACTGGCACACTTGTGTTACAACAGTGTGTGTGTGTGTGTGTGTGTGGGGGGGGGGTGTTTCTGGTTGTAAATCGTCAATTACAGAAAGAGAAGAAGGGAGAATGAGGCCAAAGCCATACCAGACTCATATTGAAGGGTCACTGTGAGCACTGGCATTCTCTGTTTGGGTGTCAAGAGTCCGAGATGGGACAGTGAAACAGATTTTGCAGATAACCAGGCTGCAGACGGACGACACCAGAGACGGGCAGCAGGTAGCTGAAGGGAAAAGAAAAGAGACTGCACAGCTTTTTATCATGAATGTGATAAAAAGAATGAATGAATGTAGCCGGTTTTCAACCTGCATCTCATAACTCATTCAGCTCACAGTATTCAGCTGCCTCCCCTCTCTTCCTCTCTCTCTATCTCTGTTTTCCACCTTTCTCATTTTCCCTGTCCTCTTTTCCCTTCCACCTCCATGTATCTCTCCGTCTCTATCCCCCTCTCGTTTCCCCTTTCCCCCTCTTTTCCTTTCTGCCTTCCATGTCTCTCTCCCTCTCCGCCTCCTCTTCTGCCGTTTTGCTTTCTCTATCATATTTATGAAGAGCTCAAGCCTTATCTCTTTTTCAGCTGCAGGCTGTCTCACTTGAAAGAATTTCAAAAGCTTTGAAAGCAGGGTAGGTGGCGACGCAACGAGGAAAGGGATAAAGAAGAGGAGGCAGAGTGAAGAGAGGCGGGATGTTAGTTGGACGGAGAAGTTTCTCCGCTCAGACGGGGGAGAGAAGGGGATCGTGGGTGAAAATGACTCCGTAGTGCATTAGTTTACCGAATACAAGTCATTTACACTAGGATTATTTAGAAAAACATGGGCACGATCTGAGTGACTGCGAGATTTTACTAACTAGAAGGATTTGAAAGCTAATGAGTCATTATCAGGACAGACAGAGAGGTCTGAGAGTGTGGTGGTTTGTTTGTTTTACGGATGCGATTTGTACATGCCCACTCATTCCCTCCTAAGCCTCACGCCTCAACACTTAACTGGCTGAATTGCTTGTTTTTCGGTGTCACGGCTTAAGCAAGATTGCAACAAAAGCCGAGTATGCACACTAGAGACCTGGCTGAAGCCTAATGATATTGCCACTTATTATCAGTGTTTGTTGATTTTGATGGATAGTGGTGCTCAGCTAGAAAGCAAAGGGCTGCTCTGGAACAAGATCAGTCTAATGACCAAATGGCTATGGCCGTTTTTTTTTTTTTTTTCTCGCACAGCACAAACACACCATAGCCACACATAGATTTACAATGAGAATCACGTCAGCGCACAGAAACCATGGCAACATTGAGTTAATAAATAGCAGAACTGAAGAGCTGTTAGTGCTCATCGTTCACGCTGCCTTTTTGTATGTGCGCGTGAAGCTCACACGGGGCCTCCAGAGATTTGCCTGTGATGTCTTGGGTTACATAAACCTTCTGGCTTCCTACGCCCACCCCACCCCCACCCCACCCCCACCCCCTTGTCCCAACCTCTGTCCCACTCTCACAAATCCCAGTCTTGTGCACGGATGTGTGCATGCATGTGTGTGTGTGTGTTCCTGCTCGTGTCTGTTGACATTTTCCCTGCAATCCCCCGAGAGAGGAGTCAGAGGAAGAGCGAGAAGTATTCCCACGTTCTCTCCAGAGATCTCAGATCTGCCATGTTTGCTCCACTTTTTCCTTTTTCTTTTACACTTCTTAAAAGATTTTCTCCCCTTTCTCTACACCCGTTGCCTTTTCTTGTTCTTTCTCATGTCATATTGTGTGCACTGAAGCTGATCAGTTGCCTCTTTTTGTGAGATGCCGGGAGCTTCCCTCTGCCTCTAAGCTGCACTCTGCTCTGAATTAGGCCGTTTTGAAGGGATGGGTGAGAAGGTGGAGGGATTTTGTGTTGGTGTGGTAGCCAGTGCTGTTTGTTCCAGCTTGTCACAGCAAGCTCTGACCTCTAAACTAAGACCACTCCTGTCTTGGAAAAAACATAACTGACTGAAATGATCAAATCACAATACTTTTTTTTTCTTTCTTTTTTTTTTTTTTTTTTTTCCTAAGAAGTAACTGCCCTGACCTTTTCTTTCTATTTTGTGTCTTTTCTGAGCAGATGCAGTCATGGTTGGGAACCTTCAACCCAGAGAGGGAGAGACGAAAGGTAATGGCCTGTCTGACCATCACATTTCTCAGCACACACACTCACACTTACGCACGTATACACACATACACATGGAGCGTGAGGATTAGAGGGTGTGCAGGATTAGCTCTTGTGGTCACGCTGGGTAGGTGTCAAACACAGCAGGGAGAAATTTGACCTCTTGACTCTCCTTCAGTGTGTGCGCTTGAGCATGTATATAAATGTGGCTGTGCACTTATGTGTGTGTTTAAATCCGGGAGCTGCAGTGCCTCTCCGATCTGTTCCTGACCTTACTGAATTAGCAGGGAACGGAGGAGGAAAAAGAAGAGAAGAACTATATATAAATTATATTCCTGCCAAGAGAAGTCTGCTACTTCTAAACAGAGATCGTGCTATATTGCCGATAAGAAGACCCTTCATTATGTCGCCTGTGCTTGTTTACACTGACCCAAACAAAGCCAGCATAATGCTGCCTCATTGTGTGATTTTTAGATAGCATTCCATGCCGGCGTTCCCAAATGGCTATGGCCGACACGTACACACACACACACGTACACACACACACACACACATACACTTTACCAGCACTGGATTAGGGGGAGCTGTACCCAACTTTCTGGAACTGACAATCTGACGTTCACATGACCACATGACACTAGCCGGCCAACTATGTGAAAGAAAGAAAATGACCCGGGTTTGAACGTCTCTCTCTAGATCTCCTTTTTCATTCTTTACACAACTATTTCTGTCTGATTTCATGTGAACAACTCGGTGCAACACGACAGATGTTTTCCTGTCTGAAAACGTGCACCGTTATCCCTGTATTTAAACGATATCATACACCCCTCCGCTTTCCAGTGTGGCTGTGCAGAATAGCACTAAACACTTACATCAACACTTTTGAACGTGAACGTGGTTGGAGAACACTCGTACAAACTAGTTCTGTTCAAACGTAACTTGACCCGTGCACTTCTGGAGCACTGGAGGGAACTCAGGGTTATCTAGCCATTGGCTTGGATAAAACAAACGTATACCAAACAGAAAGCTTGCTTTACAAACAGGGGGAGCGAAAGATGTGGGCAGGAACAAAAAGATGTAATTGGTTGCATTATGGGAATTCTAGATCCAGTAATTTTGGCAGTTGACCAGTACTTGGGATTAAAAATCAGAATATCTTCTTTTGGACTTTTTGAAAGCGTCTTGTTCTAACTCGGCTCCTGGCTTTAGACATTGAAGTGTCCTCCAGCAAGGCGCTAAACCCTTACTTGCCCATGCATCAGGCATCGCTATGGAGATGTCGTATCATTAAAATGTAAACTTAGGCTGTGCTTAATCATAGCATCCTCCACAAACGTTGTAATTGCAAAGTCTTGCAGTACGACTCCTGAATAGTTAAAAATCTAATAGCAGCAATCCCTCGCTGTTCTGCTTTTAGTTGCCTACTCATCCTCCTCCCTCTCCTCTGCTCTGTTGTTGCACCTCCACCCTGCAGGGTGAGGGGTGGAGGGCAGGTTAGGGTTAAGGTTATGTAGATGCTGCCCCTAAGTGGCAGATGTAATTACTGCACACTGAACTGGCGTAACCCTCACCAGTGACGTTAATGTGCATGAATGTGTGGCAGCAACACACACACCAACACACACACACACACACACACACATACATACACATGCCGTTCATGTGGGCTAATTGCTATGTGTAGCACAGAGTGTAAATAAGTCAGCAGTGGTTTTTATCACACTCTCTGTTTCCTCGTATTTTCTTTCCCAGTCGCTCTCCACGTTTCCATCTGTTTTTCTCTCAGCCTTTCACTTTGCACTCTCTCTCTCTCTCTTTTTCCCTCCTCTCTATCTCTTCCTCTCTTTTTCTCTCTCCCTCCCTCTGTCTCTCTCTCTCACTCCTGTACTCACACCCAGCATGAATAAAGCAGCAAGCCAGGTTCATGGACATGAATATTTATGAGAGCACGCGCTGCAATGCTTTAAAACAACAACAACAGCCTGCCTGATTGTGCTTGCCAAGCCAGCCAGCTCTGGCTCATGTGTTCATGTGTGTGTGTATGTGTGTGTGTGTTCATGTGTGTATGTGTATGTGTGTGTGTGTGTGTGTGTGTGTGTGTGTGTGTGTGTGTACGTACGTGTGTGTGTGTGTGTGTGTGTGTGTGTGTGTGTGTGTGTGTACGTATGTGTACGTGTGTAGCAGCAGGTGTAAACCAGAGAAAGCGATTCCTGCTGGGTGTCTGAAGACCGCTGGCTCTGGTGATTTCCATTCACTTTGTCAAATCTCCCTCCCTCTGCGCCTCACATGTTCTCTGTTACTCCGTCACACACGCGTGCACGCGCACGTGCACACTTCTCATGTTCCGTGCTGACACTTGTAGTTTCCTACGTGCGCCATTCTTGATCTTTCTATCTCCCTCTCTCTGACTCACCCCCCGTCCCTCTCTACATATCTGTGTGCGTGAATCTGGCTGGAGTGATGACATATATAACTCGTGTGGGCAGTTATCGCGGCCGTCAGTCACATGGTTGTGACACATCTGTGTGTGTCTTGAGCGATTTGTTTGAGGTCACGCATGAGTACACACGCCCCTCGGAGCATCACAAGGTTTTGCAGTAGCACAGGTCAGAGGGAGGATATTGGGAAGAGGGTATTTAAGTCAGGCTGCACGCGCATACACACATACACACACACATACACACATACACACCTTTAAACACATTTGCACAACTGCACACACAGCAGCTCAGTCCTGTCGGGTAGCAACAAAGCTGGCTGTGCAAACAGCGAGCTGCTTGTTCGTTATCTTCCCAGGGTGTTTGTTTACTGAGCCACACAAGCTTTGCCTTGAGTCACAATGTGACGTGTCTGCTGTGTGTCTGTATAGATGTGTGTGTGTGTAGCTGCATGCACAACCTTGTGTCCTGTGGAGCCTTGTCTCTGCGCCCGTGTATCCTCACTTATCAACCAAGTTTTTAATTTACATGTCACCCACATCCTGAAGAATTCAATATGAGTGTGCTGCAAGGACAGTTGGGTTTGTCTCTCAAGGGCTCTTAAGCAAGACGCGTGGCGTTGACAAAACACACACCTTCTTTTGGAGGGATTGACTCCAGCTGCTATATAATCAGCATTCCTGCTCAGCACTATTTCTGGTTGATTTTGGGTTTCCCTTGTTCCTGAATTCTTTGTGAATTTAAAAATCTCACCAAAAGGTCAGTTTGGTTTGGAGCTTTCGATTGTATCACACAACCTTCTTCAGTATTGGAGTTTGCTTAGTTGTCATGGAATTGTAGATACTCGAATTTCCATTTTTTCGTCTCATCGATGTTGGCGTAATAGTTGAGACTGGAAATCAGAATCAGCATGTGCGACATTATAATTTGCCAGCACACTCTCTGAACATCTTTCCTTAATCAACATGTCACATCATGAGAAAATCCCTGTGATGCGTACTGCAGGAGATGCAGATGATTATCATGATGAAAAATATCTCGTGTCCTGTCTCATAGAAAAACATGTCTGGAATTAGATGTTCAAATGCATTTGGGAGACCTGATGCTGTTATTTTTAGAGTAGGTTGTCTCTGAGATGAGGGTGAGTGCAGTGGGTGGCGGATGACACGGGTTGCTCCCCATAACCCTCTGTAATCTAGCGTGCGTCATTAATGTTGGGACCACTGTGCCCGCCGCACATAATTACGGTTTCATTCCCCTCTGCTTCCCGAGCAGCGCAGGGGCCTCTGACACGGGAGGACTGTAATTAAAAACAAGGGGCTCTTCCTCCTCCTCCTCCTCCTCCTCCTCCTCTGCTATTCCACATCCTGTCTCTTGCGAACTGAAATTCCTCAAATGCCTGTCTCTACACATCACCTATATTTTATCTGAGATTACTTGACTCCATGCATTCCTTTAAACCCAATTTCTGGAGTTACTCTTTCCCTACACACACACACACACACACACACACACACACACACACACATGCAAGGGCTCACACACTCACAAATCTCAGTCTTTTTCCTCATAGCACCCTTCAGGTTCCTGTCTTGCCATTTTCCTCTCTAACCATGAGGCAGCCCTCCCAATACACATATGATAAAACACACACACACACACACACACTTGAGATGACAATAGGCAGAGCTTGACATGGCCAGTGATGTCAGAGCTTCCCATAATAATAGACACTAATAGGTCTTAATGTTTGCCTCTGGGCCATGCTGTTACAGATCATGACGTTGAAATATGAAGGGTCTCTCTTCAGTTGATCACATACAGCCAGGGTGCCTTACACGTTGAAAACTTGGCTCTTATATTCAATACCCACCCACCAGCACACACGTACACACGTACACACGTACACACGCGCACACACACACACACACACACACACACACACACACACACACACACACACACACACACACACACACACACACACACGTAAAGATACAATACCACCGGGGGGCTCTCGTGATATTCATTTGAATTGTTTAAAATGCCTGCGTTAGAGCTTGCACGCCTCAGGGTCTTTCTGGTGAGTAATTAATTTCCAGCATGTGGGGGTAGAGACCAGAGCTCGTGGGCCTGCCTCCCGGCTCCGGCTGTGTGTGTGCGTGCGTGCGTGCGTGCGGGTGCGCGTGAGTGTGAGCGAGAGAGAGAGAAAAAGAAAAAGAGGCTTTGCGCTGGCTCGGCTACTGCGTCCTAGCCTAGGGGAGGAGGGGGTGGGGAGTGAGGGGGGTTGGGGTGGGGGGGCGACAGCACAGCGCAGCGCAGAAAATCGATCCAGGGGCCGCGCTTCTCAGCCTCTTCCGGACGCAAGAGTCCTCCTCTCCGGGGAATTAGATAACGGCTTGTAAAAGCTCTCCACCGCCAGGCTCTCCCCCTCCTCGACTTTTAGCTGCTGCCGCATCTCTCTGTCTTCCTGCCTGCCTGCCTTGCTGCTTGTCCACGAGATATTGAATTCATCCCGTTCACATTACGGCAAAGTATTGGCTTCCAGTTTAATTGGAATCCGCGTTTCTTCTCATAACTATGTGGATATTGAGTATTATCAGCAGGTTAATATTTTATTAGGTTTTAATTGGCCTTTTGTTGTTTGCTTCAGTGCAGTGATCTCCCAGTTAAGACACCAACTCTGTTTGTACACGTGTGTGTTTGAGACAGAAAAACGTGTGTGTATACAGTTTCTCCACATGGGTCAGCAGTCACTTTTCTCCCCTTCAGGTTTCCTTGGCTGAGGAGATCAAGCCGTTGAAGTGGTATCCCTCCGTTTACCTGCTGGTGTCTATCTTCCCCCTCATCAACAGGTAACACACACACACACACACACACACACACACACACACGGATAGAGACACACCTGTACTGCACATAAACTCTGCGCTCTGTTGTTTTATTTGCATGTTGGCTTCACTCTGCTGTCTTATCTCTTCTCAACCCGTCACCCTCCTCCTCCCCCTCCTCCCTGCTCTGCCTTTCCCATCCCCTCTCTCTCTCGCTTATCTGAACTCTCACGAAGCTTTGCTCTCTCTGTAGCTGCACGAACAGTGACGGAGATTTGTGTGTGTGTGTGTGTGTGTGTGTGTTTGTGTGTGTGCGTGCGCGCGTGTGTTGGAGGTATAGAGCATTTTATTGGCTTTTATAAAACCTGGGCTTCATCGACTGAGGGTTGGTGGGAGGAGGCGAGTGGTCCAGTAAATGATAACCCTGGTGCTGTTATTACTCCTTCACTCCCTTCCCTACCTCTCTCTCTATCATTCTCTCTCTCATTCTCTCTCTCTCTCTCTCTCTCTCCCTCCTTTCATTTGCCAAAGCCCCCCCCCCACCGCCGCCACGCTGAACCGGTGTGATTGACAGGTCAGGGTTACTAAGTGATTAGCTGCGGCGGCTCTGCTTGTCGCCACGGCGATGTAGGCGGAGACACAGGTCAATTACAGGGTCAACGTCTTTCAAAGGCTCCGCTCAAACAGCGTGGCGCCCCCACCCACCACCCTCTCTCCTTCCCCTCTCGCCCTCTCCTCCTCCTCCTTCACCTCTCCATCCATTCAGCCCCCCCACCCCCTCCTCCCTCCCGTGCCCCGGCTGTCGGCTGATGAAGATGACAAACTGCATCCTGTGCTAACCCCAAAACGCCCTCTCTTCCTTCCCTCCCTTTCTTCACCCCCTCTTTCCTTCCTTCCTTCCCTCCGTGAATGTCACTTTCTTTTCCCCTCTCCCTCTTTTACGCTCAAAACGCGTCTTTCTCACAGCCCCCCCCCCCGCCTTATTTCCACTCTTCTTCGCTTGAGCTCTCCGTCTCTCTCCTTCTGTGTTTTTATGTCAGCTCCCCAGCTCCCCCCTCCTCCTCCTCTTCCTCCACCACTTTTCCTATCCTCTGCCACACAAAGCCCTCGCTCTCCCTCTCTCTCTCTCCCCCTCTTGAGCAAACAAGCTCTCGCTCGCTCACTCAGCTCCGCTCCGCTCTGCCTTTCTCCAGAGAGCGAACGAGGAGAAAACGGGAATGAATTGCTCTCTCGTCGTCGTCCTCCACCACCTCCTCCTCCTCCTCCTCCTCCCTCTCCCTCATTCAGCGGCGCTGGCTGTATACATCTCCGGCTCCTATTAATTTGTTAGCCTCCCCTCCATCTCACCCCTTCCTCTACTCACTCGCCTCCCTCGCTCCCTCCCCCATGGCTCATATCCTCCTCCGCCTTCTCTTCCTCCCCTCGTTCTCCATCTCTCCCTCCTTCCTTCCCTCCCCTCTGCTGAGTGCTGGAGTGTGTAAAGTGTTTGTCACGGTGCCGTGCCGATGTCGCTGTGCTCTGCCGTGTGGAAGCAGCGCACGGCAGACAGCCTTAGTGTGTGTTTTGCTGTACGCGTGAGTGTGTATGTGTGTGTGTGTGTGTGTGTGTGTGTAGGCGGGTGGTTGGCTTCGTGTCAAGGCGAATGTGCTGTCTCTGCTTGTTGCCGTGTGTGTGTGTGTGTGCGCGCGCGCACTTGTTTGTCTGCCTCGACTTGAGTGTGCGCTTTTGCGTGTCTGTCTATGAGTATTCCCGTGTGTTTGTATGTATGTATGTGTGTGTGTGTGTGAGTGTTTTTAATATTTTATGTATGTGTGCCTAGCGTGTGTGTGTGTGTGTGTGTGTGTCTGAGTGGGGGATTATTTCTATCTGAGCTCCAAAGCCTCCTAAACAGGGCTTAGAGAGACGGCCCAGGGCAGCAGCTAAAGCCGTTGGGTAGAGCTCTCTCTCTCTCTCTCTCTCTCTCTCCGCGCGCCCCCCCCCCATCTCTCTCCCTGCCCTGATCCATTGCGTTAATACACAGACACTCCCACACACAAACACACTCTTGTTTTAGCCTTCATCTGCTACCACACACACACACACACAAACACAAACGCACGCACACAGACAGTCACACGCCACACGCAATTTTAATCTGTTCCAAATGCACACTGGTAAATGTGTTAATTCGACACCAGCTGTTGCGAATTGGAATGGGAAAGCGCTCCTACTTTTCCTCGCCCGCGCTCTTACACACATGCATGCAGGAATCATTATACATCATTTTACCGTACACATCTCCACATCTCTCTTCCGCTCTCGCTCCCTCACTCACATTCCCTCATTTGGCAACACAAAAGTAGCACCAGACACTCACACCTTAGCACTTATCCCTCCTCCTTCTCCTCCTCTTTCTGCTACTTCTTCTTCTCTCTCTCTCTCTCTTTCTCTCTCTCTGCCACTTAAATCTCTCCCTTCCTTGTGTTCATGTGTGTGTGTGTGTGTGTGTAACCGCTGCCCGGGCACGACTAGAGTTTTCACAGTCTGCTTCTCACATCGCCTCCCCTGTGTGCTTTATGGTGTGGGTGTGTGTTTGTTTACAAGGCTTGTCTAGATTCCTACTGTGCGTGCTTGTACGCCTGTTTGCATAAATAAACCCTCTCCTCGGAACCTAGCTGCCGATTTCTGCGGCGCTGCGCGACTTGATGAGCAAGTGCTCCTCCTGGACAGCCTGCTCGTCTTTTACGAGGACTTTTTTCTCTCTCTTTTAACACCCTCCCCTTTTCCCTTTTGACACCAAGCGGCAAGAAACCGCCATCCCCATTTAGTGCCCTTTTTTTCCTGTTCTTTCAGGCTTTGTTTAGAAGCTCTAACCTCCAAAGCAAGACAGGAGAGCCGGTTGCCTTGGAGCAATCAACCTTATGTGCCTTGCAGAGGGGTGCTTCAGTGTGGATAGATTGGCCCTGGCGGCGGGGCTTGAACCAGTGATGTGTCTGTAACCTTGAGTTCACCCTGTCGCTCCAGGAGGCAGCTTGCATCCTCCTAGTTATTCTTGGTTTCCCTCGATGCTGCGTGTGGGTTTTGCGGTGTGTACAGGCCTATACGTGCTTGCAGGGGATTTTTTTGTATGGGCTCCCTACAGCGCCTAAGCCTCCTGCCTTTCTCTGGAGGAGATCTGATTTCCCTGCTCCAGGCGAGCAGCAAGAACAAGACAGCGTGTGCGTGCGTCTGTGTGTGCCTCAGTGTGTGCCTGCGCTTTTGTGTGTTTTGCGCACACACGCCCGCACGCGCAACCCGGGCCAGGCAGACCTTCCCCATCTCCGTTCTGCACTTTGAAAAACGAGGGAGGAAATCTCAGAGCAGCAGTTATTATTCATCCCTCAAAGAGAACGGGGAGGAGGCGGAGGTAGGGAGGGAGGGAGGGAGGGAGGGATGGATGGAGGGAGGAAGAAAGAAGAGAGCCAAACGGGAGGGATGAAGGAGGGGTGGAGGGGGGGATACATTAACTCTTATCTCACTGTATTCGGCTTTCTCCATCCCAGGATGCGCTCTTTCTCTTTCTCTCCCTCTCTCTCTCTCTCTCTCTCTCACACACACTCCTGCTCTCTCCTTCCTTTCTACACTGCCTTCCTTCCGTTCCTCGCCTCCACGCCTCTCGGAATATCTTGCATTCAGCGCACATGGATGTGTGTTTGTGCCTGCGTGTGTGTAGGCTGGTGTGTGGTTTGTACTGTATAGCCTAATATCTTTTGTGGTGTATTTTGTTTACTTGAACAAGTGAGCTCCTCAGATGCTGAAAGGCAGTATGCAAGGTTCCAACTCTCATCTTTGTTTGTCTGCAAGCTTCTTTTTTTTTATTCATCTATCTCTTCACATTCAATTTACTGTATGAGAGTGGCGGCGTTGGCCTGTTTACTAAAATAAGTTTTGAACTTGATATAGCTTGCAGGTATTTGATGTTTTTTTTTTTTCAGATTCAGAGGCAAACGAAGGGGGGGGGGTCGCCAGCAAAGTCTGGATTAGCTCGATATGAATATCATTTTGCACACTGTGAATTAGCACATTAAGAAAGCACCGCTCTGATTGTCAGTTTTGATATTCTCACGATTTTGACATTTTCTTTACTGTTATTTACACACAGATAACAAACAATCCTCACAAATCAAAGATGCCCGTGGAGTGGGATGACCACCCCGATTGCCTGTGTGATAACTCAGCCACATATGGCTGTGCGCCCTAGATAATATTTGGTAAATATATGACCATGCCCACTTTGCATGCCCACGTGTGTGTGCCTTTGTATCTCAGTCAGTGATCGGTGTGTAACTGAAGACGTTGAGCCCAGTTGCTATTCGTCTCCCACTGAGCAGCAGCGACGCTCCGCTATTAATCCCTGTTTAGCGACACAGAGAGTTGGCCTACAGGGCTGTGTAAAGTGCAAACACACACACACACACACACACACACAGGACAGGCAGAGCTGGACACACACACACACACACACAAGCACTGAGGCTCTTCAGTCATTATCGTAGTGGACATATATACGTATTTGCATACATGTAAGAGAATATGCAGATACAAAATACTGATATATATATATATATATATAAACAAAGGCATATGCACATGCAGAGATATACAAACATTAACACACATATACAGGCAAACAAACTATATACTAACCCATTAATCCCAGTGGACATACATGTAAGCCATATGAAGCACCGTTACAAATATACAAACTACATACAGGCACATACGTACATTCATGCACAGACATATGGTGCACACACGCAAATTGTAAAGGAGATTCTAGATAACCTCCCTCAGACACTCTTGGGCACGTGCACACATTCACAGGCGTGTGCAAAAACAAACACACACACACACACGCACACACATACACACCCTGTTCCCCCTCCCTCTGCTCTTTCAGGCACGTCTTTAAATATTCATCACTCTGGCTGCTCTGAGAGTACCGTAAACGCTGCCTCACACTCCAGGGAATCGCTAAAGCCTACTCTATCATCTGCTCTCCCTCC